ATGTGGTCCTCATTAAGCATCCATGGCTAAGTGGTTAAAGCGCCCAACTCATAATTGGCGAAGTCGTAGGTTCAATTCCTACTGGATGCACGCTATCTGGTCTATCTATTTACATAAACTAAAAAATATTACCAACAGTTTGTTAAAAATAAGAAATCTCCACGAGTTATCTATGGGATTAGGGGCGAATATCCCTGAGATATAGTAAAAAAGAAAAACTGAAATGAAAAATTAAGAAGAAAATTACTTAAATATTATGATAATAAAATTATACAAAATTGAGCCTACAAGCACACTCACTAGAAACGGAACGAGTCAAGCGAAGCCCAAAAATTTGATCTCTGGAAAACGTAATTGTGGTAAAGGTCGTAATGCCAACGGAATTATCACTATAAGACATCGAGGAGGAGGTCATAAACGCTTATGTCGTAAAATCAACTTTAAAAGGAATGAAAAAGATATATCTGGTAAAATAAAAACGATAGAATATGACCCTAATAGAAACGCATACATCTGTCTCATACATTATGTAAATGGTGAAAAGTGGTATATTTTACATCCTCGCGGGGCTCTAATTGGAGATACAATAATTTCTGGTCCAGAAGTTTCCATCAAAATAGGCAATTCATTACCTTTAAACGAAATACCTTTGGGTACATCTCTGCATAACCTAGAAATCACACGCGGAAAAGGTGGACAATTAGCTCGCGCAGCAGGTGCTGCGGCTAAACTGATTGCAAAAGAGGGTCAATCTGCCACCCTAAAATTACCGTCTGGAGAACTACGTTTTATATCCAAACAATGTTCAGCAACAGTCGGACAAGTAGGTAATATTGGGGTGAATCAAAAAAGCTTAGGCAAAGCGGGAGTTAAACGGTGGCTAGGTAAACGTCCTATCGTAAGAGGGCTAGTTATGAACCCAATAGACCACCCTCACGGAGGCGGTGAAGGTCGAGCACCTATTGGTAGAAACCAACCTAAAACCCCCTGGGGATATCCTGCACTTGGAAAAAAAACTAGACGCAAAAATAAATACAGCAATAAGTTTATTCTTCGTCATCGTATGTAACTCTGGGGGAGGAACTAAACAACTAGGTAAACTAAAACTAGCAGGGAAAATTATATGATAAATAAAGAAATGAGGAAAAAAGCATGACATATTTACTAAAAAAAAATCCATTCGTCGCCAATAATTTATTAAAAAAAATAAATAAACTGAACAGAAAGGCTCAAAAAGAAATAATAATAACTTGGTCCCGGGGATCTACAATTATCCCAATAATGATTGGACATACTATTGCTATCCATAATGGAAAAGAGCATTTACCTATTTATATAATGGATGATATGGTAGGCCATAAATTGGGAGAATTCGCAGCCACATTAAATTTCCGAGGGCATGAAAAAGGTGATAATAAATCTCGTCGATGAATTTTATTTTAATAATAATTAAAAAATCATTCTACAAATTGATTTCAATTTAGTAAGAGGCAACCAGATGACAAAGAAAACAAAACCAGAAACCTATGTGTTCAGCCAAAATTTCCCTATATCGGCTGATAAAGCCCGCAGGGTAATTGACCGAATTAGGGGTCGTTCCTATGAAGAAACCCTTGTTATATTAGAACTTTTGCCCTATCGGGCCGCGTATCCGATTTTTAAATTTGTATGTTTCGCAGCATCAAATGCCAGTTCCACTTCCACTTCAAAGAAAGAAAATTTATTTATTAGTAAAGCCGAAGTAAATGAGAGACCCGCTATAAAAAAATTAAAACCGCGAGCTCGCGGCCGGAGTTATCCAATAAAAAAGGCAACCTGCCACATCACTATTGTACTAACAGACCTCTCGTTCTACTTTAATGAATTGGTAGAGCCACAACAAGAAAAAAATCTTCTAACTAAATTATATTTGAATCTGAGGGGTTTATGGGACAAAAAATAAATCCGCTTGGTTTGAGACTTGGTACAAACCAAGATCATTATTCAATTTGGTTTTCACAACCAAAAGCGTATTCAAAAAGTTTACAAGAAGATCAAAAAATACGAAGTTTTATAAGAAACTACATAAAAAATATGAAGATATCACCCTCTGGTGTCGAGGGACTTGCACGTATCTCTATTTACAAACGAATTGAGCTAATTGAAGTTAGAATCTTTCTGGGATTTCCAAAATTGTTACTCGAAAATAGACCAGAAGGACTGGAAGAATTACAAATAACTTTACAAAAAGAATTGAATTGTGGAAACCGAAGATTGAACATACTTATCACGAAAGTTGAAAAACCTTATAGCAATCCTAATATTCTTGCCGAATTTATTGCCGGACAATTGAAAAATAGAGTGTCCGTTCGACAAGCAATGAAAAAAGCTATTGAATTGGCGGAAGAAGCAGATACAAAAGGAATTCAAGTACAGGTTGCTGGGCGCCTTAATGGACAAGACATTGCACGTGTACAGTGGATTAGAGAAGGACGAG